CAGCCTACGCCTCCCGGAAAGATGAACTGTCCACACACAAGGGTTGTGTGATGTGGGGAGGGAGAGTGGTGATCCCCACACCACTCCGAGAACGGGTGTTGGCGGTGCTGCACGAGGCGCACCCCGGGGTGGTACGAATGAAGGCACTGGTCCGGAGTTATGTGTGGTGGCCAGGACTGGAGCGAGACATCAAGGACCAGGTAAAGAAATGCCAGCCCTGTCAGTCCTCTCGCCCCGAACCCCCGCGAGTTCCAGCCGAGCCTGGGAGTCCTCGCACAAGCCCTCGTCCCAGCTACACCTGGACTTTGCAGGGCCGTTCCAGGGCCAAATCTTTTTCATCCTCGTAGACGCCTACAGCAAGTGGCTGGAGGTGGTGCCCATACCGTCAACATCCTCCAAGGTGGCCATCAGAGCAATGTGGCACATCTTCAGTGCCCAAGGCATCCTGGACACCCTGGTCACGGACAACGGGACGGATTTCACCTCAAGCGAGTTCCAGGAATTCACGAGGTACTACAGGATCCACCACGTCCGGTCTGCCCCGTTCCACCCGGCAGTGAACGGACAGGCGGAACGCATGGCATGCACCACCAAAGAGGCGCTTCGCCGGAGTGAGGGCAAAGACTGGGACTACAAGTTGGCCGCGTTCCTGTTCGGCCAGCGTACAACCCCCCCACACCAAAACGGGTCACAGCCTGGCCGAGCTACTGTTAGGTCATCGATTGACCACCCGGCTGGATCGTCTACACCCGGACCGGGCACCAGAAGAGGAACCAGCTACGGAAGCACCTCAAGCCACGAGGGGTTTCTTCCCGGAAGACCCAGTCTACGCGAGGAACTATGCGAAAGGGCCGGCCTGGATCCCGGCGCGAGTAGTACGCGTAAGAGGACCTCGGTCGTACAAGGTCTCCTGCGAGGACGGCCAACTACTCCATCGCCATAGATCAACTGCGGCAGCGGGTCCTTCCAAACGATCCCGAGGACTTGGAGTTTCCGGAATCAAGAAAAACGTCTTGTCCTGCGGCCGAGACCCAGACCCCGGGGCCCGTTTTGGCAACCCCCAATACAGGGCCGCCGCCGCCGTCGCCGCCACTAGCTGCGCAACAACCAATCTCCCCACCAAGACCCCCAGTAGCATCCACAACGCCAACACCAGTACCCCGCCGTTCCAGAAGAACCAGGATGGCCCCCGCGTACCTCCAAGACTTCGTGTGTGGGTAGTCTGGACTATGGGGGGAGGGGTGTAATGTACTCCACCATGACCACGTGTGCGACCGTTCGGCCATGTGGTCGGGCAGAGTCACGGAGCTTCGCTCTCTCTAGAACAATAGCCAAGCGGATCCTAGCCCGCACCTATCAGAGGGCCAGGTCCGCGGCCGAGAGCCTATGGAACTCTCGGCCACTATATATAGCCTATAGGATAGTAGTGGGCATGTTTAGGTGGTGGGTTTTCTGTGCATATAAACCGGCCTGCGATCAGGTTTACTTTTGTCGTGTGCTATCCAAATAAAAGTACTTTGCTGAAATCACTCCACGCTTCTCAGTACTTTTAACTAACCAAGTCTGACCCTACTTGGCTTAACCAGAACATAAGAGAAGCCAATGTTGGATCAGGCCAATGGCCCATCTAGTCCAAAGGGATTCTGAGATCTGACAAGATCAGGCTAGCCTAGTCTCTGTATTTCAGGGAACGATAATGGGAACAGCTGGTGGAATTTGCTCTGTCCCAGCAGGAGTGCTTCAGTCTTCTCATCAAGAAGTACCACTGCGTTAAGTGGAGCTTAACTCTGAGCAAACATGCTTATAATCAGGAAATCTTGTCCACCTGTGTCTGTTTTGCTTGATAGCACACTCGGATGAAGGAAAAGGGAAGAACCATTTCCTCCTTGAGAGAGCGGATAGCGGCAGGCTGACTATTCACAAACTAGGTGCTTAGATATTCTGAAATAACAGGTTAAATTGTTTCTTAAGAATTCTTAAATATATAGGAAAATATTAAGTTTGCAGATTAAAAGACCACCCTCCTCACATGCTGATGAGGGAACATAGTCGTTGCCCTGACATATGGGGTGAAGCTGAGAGGGGAGGTTGCTCTGCTCAAGCACCTAAGAATTTATATTTTTGTTGCCAATATGCTAAAGGTGCTCAGGTTCTTTGACTTATGTGGCTAGCCAATAAACCACACAGTGAAAACAATCTTCCAGGCAGTAAAGGGTAATAAAAAGTATTTATTCGAATAAGGAACTCCCTACAGCTTAATTCAGCCTCGATGTTCAACAAACAAGATCCAATGAGCAGACTTATATACTCTTTTTGCAATGTGGCTCTTACGTTAAAGCAAGTTTGGACACCCCTGAGCCAGACAGTGTACGCTTATTACTCTTTTTCTAGAGACTCTGTAATCATTTTTGCATCATTTTTAATGTATCAGGTTAATATTTACACTTTGCTTCAGTTCTGTTTTTAGATTTCTGGTTGGTCTACAGCCCTAAGCCTTATTGTACTGTTTATTGAATGATCGAATTCTAATGACCAGCTCCGGCACCTGGGTTTTGGCCACTGTGTGACACAGAGTGTTGGACTGGATGCGCCACTGGCCTGACCCAACATGCCTTCTCTTCTGTTCTTCTGTTCTGTGTAATCTGCCTTGAGTCCGTGAGAAAGGCAGACTATAAATAACATGAACATATAAAATAAGTATGCAAATAGCAGCTGAAGAAGAAGAGTTGGATTTATATCCAGCCCTTCAGTCGGAGCCTCAGAACAGCTTACAATAGCCTTTCCCTTCCCCTCCCCACAACAGACACCCTGTGAGGTAGGTGGGGCTGAGAGAGCTCTGAGAGAACTGCTCTTAAGAGAACAGCTCTGAGAGAACTGTGACTGACCCAAGGTCACCCAGCTGCTGCATGTGCAGGAGTGGGGAATCAAGCCCAGTTCTCCAGGTTAGAATCTGCCTCTCTTAACCACTACACTAAGCTGGCCTCCTAAACCTCAGCCAAATGGTGCCCCTGCCTGTACACCCTTTCCCAGGTATATTACTAGTATTTGCAGGGGTCGTTTCGTAGAAAAAGAGCTAGGGGAACTCATTAGCATAACTCATTAGCATATGCCACAAACCCTGACATCATAAGGCCCGGCAGTGAACCTGCAAGGCCGGCGGGAGTGTGAGGAAGCCCCGCCAAGGCCCTCCCTGGGCCTAGGGAGGCTGGGGTCGGGAGAGGCGGGGAGGAAGCAACTTACCCTCCCTCTTCTCCTGCCTCCTCCTGGCTGAATGAGGGCCGGAAGCGGGGTGGCCGGAAGCAGGGGGTGGGGCTTCATTGTGTGCCCCGCCCCCCACACCTCACCCGGGGGAACTGCGATCCCCCGCGATCCCCCCCCGAATCGACCTCTAAGTATTTGTGTCTGCTAGCTATCACAACTACTGCTTTTGGTCCCTCCTTCCATTCCTCCTGTGCCCCCAACACAAGCAGGATCCACTGCAAACTCTCTCATATTCACCCGATGCTGTGTACTGCACATACTATGTTAGCCTCTAGGTAGTGTGTGTTTACTAAAATTCTGCTACTCAGGGTTGAGGGCTTCTGAAGTTCCTTTTCTCAAAGGGAAACACAATCTTCACAAATAGTGACCACAGGAACCCAGTTGATTGCCAACTCTGGGTTGCAAAATTCCTGGAGATTTGGAAATGGAAGGACCTTAACAAGGTATAATCCACCCTTTAAAGTATTTTTTTCCAGGGGAACTGACCTGTGTGGTCTCGAGATCAGTTTTTATCCCGGGACATCTCCAGGCCCCACCTGGAGGTTGACAACCCTTGCCACAGAGCATATACAGAGTTGCCCTAGTGTTTGCGACAGCCATCCATGCAGAGGTCATCTGTCCCTGAAGCCCCTTCTGTGAAATGGCAGGTTGTCCGACGAAGGGAGAAGCCACCTTGCTAACTTTGGGGTTGGCCAATTCACTTGTAGAGCAACTGATAGTGTCCTGAAATTTCTTTGGCACGCCAGGTCACCCTAAAGGTTGAATCTGGAAACAACCACACCCAAACCAGAGACTCCTTAAACAGAAAGAAAAAAGACAACAAAATGTACTTTCATAGAACCACAGATTTGGACGGGACCTCCAGGATCAAATTCATCATCAATGGATCAGTGATATCTTTGTTCTACCTGAGGACACTCAAAATATACTAATTGTCTGAGAGATATCCAAACTGATGATGGCAAAGTGGAATGACAGCACACAACATTGCCCGACACATCCCACACTTCTAGATTGCCCCCTTGGATTTTAAACCCTGTTGTTTGGTCCCTGAATCCTGTATCTTGCTTTTTCCTTGAGTTGCCTGAAGCTAAGGCACACATGAAGCTGCCTCAAACTGAATCAGACCCCTGGTCCATCAGAGTCAGTATTGTCTACTCAGACTGGCAGCGGCTTTCCAGGGTCTCAGGCTGAGGTCTTTTACGTCCTCTTCCAGGTATTCCTTTTAACAGGAGATGCTGGGGATTGAACCTGTGACCTTCGGCTTGCCAAGCAAAGGGTCTTCCACTGAGTCCCCTTAGTCTGCAGTTTGCCTGCTTTCCAGCTGCACAATGCTCAGTGAATTGCGTACAATAGGGTCTGGTTAATGATGGTGTACAATAGGGTCTGGTTAATGTGGCTCTACGTTAGCTGGGGGACAGGAAATGAAAATAACTGTATCGGGGAAAGTACTTTGGTCTTTCCAAATGGCACACTTCTATGGAAGCAAGATAAAACGTCATGTGTTGTGAAATAAGTTAGAGTGTCCCATAGCAAGAATGCAAAAAGCAGATCTTCCATTCTCTGAAACGAGGACAATGTCATCCTTTTCTCCAGAACTCATGTGCCGGAGGGCAGTGTCATCCTTTTCTCCAGAACTCTCGTGCCTTTCGTCAATCTGTGTGGGGAGGGGTTCATTGCACAAGGCCTCGCCCAGCCACTTCCTGGCTCTTCCTTATTACAGGCACTGGGAGGTTGCTCCATCCCAGTCTCCAGAGGGCTACAGAAGAGGGTAGTAGGCAGAGGAGCAGAGCAGATCGAAGAAGACCAACCTGCAGCCAGGAGAAGGTAACAAAGTGTTCGGTGGGGAGTAACAGGAAGAAGGTGAGGGGTAAGGGAGAACTGTATTGAAGTCGCAACTCCAGCAGAGGAAGGAATACTCACGGAGGACAGTGAGAACATCTTGATAACGGAAAATCCCCTAGCAGAGCTGAGAAGGCGACCTTTTCACTATGGGCCACCTGCACAAACAAGAAGGTGCACCCCCACAGCACACCACCGTCATTGTCCCTGCACAAACGATCGATGCACCGGATTACCTGGCATATTCCATCTTCACCATGCTGTGTTGTTGCCTGCCTCTGGGAATTGCAGCCCTCGTTTACTCCATACAGGTGAGTCTTTCCTCGATCAGCTACTGGAGGTGGGGATGGGGGAGAAAACACCTGTTTCACCAAAAAGAGGGCAAATCAGGGGCCCAATTAGAATGTTCTGGTTTGGCTTGTTGAGGTCTTTATTGCTTTTGGTTTTCAGTATCTCATGGAGAATCTCATCACACAGCAGTCTGGATTGAAATCTCACCTTTTCTAACCAGGTCCTGCTTTGTGTCCGGTTATTTGTTGCGGAAGCGAGATTGGTAGGGTCTTTTGGGATAGGAGTGATGAGCTTGGGTTTTCTTTTTCTTTGTCTTTTTAAAGCCCCCCCCCCCGAGGGGGGGATTTTTTATTTGCATTTCTATAAAACTACAACAGAAATTGGGGAGGGGAAATCTACAATCTATAGGAAAAAGTAAAGAAAACCTAACTAAAAACCCAAGAATGGAGGTTATACAATGCTTAAAACATAGTTATTACTCTTATACATTTGCTTTCAAACATGAAGAGTTTGCTTCTGTTGACAAAACCTGCTTATCTGACTGATCAGAGAGTAGTTCCAAAGCTATAACGCAATAATTACAGCCCTTAAGAAAAATTTAGCATCACCACGCCTTACTCCCTTCCCCCAGGCATCTTTTAAAACCAATGTTCCCTCAGTAAGAACATTACAACACGTTTTTCTTCTTCTGTCTTCGATAAATCTTCTTTCTTCAATTATCTTTTAGTTTCTATAAGTTCGGATCTATCCATTCATGATATGAACTAGGTTCCTTTTTTCCTGGGAGATCTTTGCTTCCTTAGATCAAAAGAGTCTTTCCTTTCATTGCAATTACAACACGCTCATTGGAGATTCTAATTGCCAATTGACTGTTACCCAGTTATGGTTGCCAACCTCCAGGAGGTGGCTGGAGATCTTCTGAGATTACATCTGATCTCCAAGAGAGAGATCAGCTCACCTGGAGACAATGCCCACTTTGGAAGGTGGACTTGAGAATGGCATTATACCCATTTTAGTCCCGCCCCCCCAAATCTGCAAGTATTTCCAACTTGGAGCTAACAACCCTTCAGTCACTAAAGATGGTGCTTTTCAGGAGAGCCTTTGACAGGCAAATAGGTTTATCTTTCCTTTTTAAAACTTGGTTGTTGACTGAAGTTTCCCGGGGAATTTAATGAAGGCAATGGCAATCTCTTGGCTGGAATCAACTTCCGTTCCAGTCTGACCAGCAGCTTTGTGACTGTGTGGGAAAGGAAACGCCGACCCATCTATACCCAGCTCCTGGTTTAAGAATATTTTGGGATATGTCTGCTCAGTTCCAGTCCAGGAGTCCTTTAGAGACCCACAAGATTTCCTAGGAAGAAACTTTGCCAGAGTCAAAGCTCCCTTCCTCAGGTGGGCTCCTGGGCTCAAATCTAGATATTTGAGTCCAGGAGTCCTTTAGAGACCCACAAGATTTCCTAGGAAGAAACTTTACCAGAGTCAAAGCTCCCTTCCTCAGGTGGGCTCCTGGGCTCAAATCTAGATATTTGACTGTAGACCAACACGGCTTCCCTCTGAAATGATCTTCTTGGAATATGTCTGTGCACATCAACTGTTATCTAGTGTATTTTATTACTGAATATTTTCTTGGAATGTATCCCTGAGTCCACAGCAGAAACTCTTTGACTGTAGACAAACACGGCTTCCCTCTGAAATGATCTTCTTGGAACATGTCTGTGCACATCAACTGTTATTTAGTGTATTTTATTACTGAATATTTTCTTGGAATGTATCCCTGAGTCCACAGCAGAAAGACTCTTTGACTGTAGACAAACACGGCTTCCCTCTGAAATGATCTTCTTGGAACATGTCTGTGCACATCAACTGTTATGTAGTGTATTTTATTACTGAATATTTTCTTGGAATGTATCCCTGAGTCCACAGCAGAAAGACTCTTTGACTGTAGACAAACACGGCTTCCCTCTGAAATGATCTTCTTGGAACATGTCTGTGCACATCAACTGTTATCTAGTGTATTTTATTACTGAATATTTTCTTGGAATGTATCCCTGAGTCCACAGCAGAAAGACTCTTTGACTGTAGACAAACACGGCTTCCCTCTGAAATGATCTTCTTGGAACATGTCTGTGCACATCAACTGTTATGTAGTGTATTTTATTACTGAATATTTTCTTGGAATGTATCCCTGAGTCCACA